GCAGAGCATTGGGCTAGTATTCCAAAGGTCGTAGGTTCGATTCCCACCGTGGTCAGGCATATTTTTCAAGCTTGCCCGGTGTGGATATACACTCAGAGTAACATCACAAGCATCATATTCACCTGAGTATATTACCAACACAGAAAAAAAACCTGTAGTAGTGTTTGTGGGAAAAATAAAAAACCCGTCCCACCCGACCTGGAAAAATTGAAATAGGTGGACGCTAAACAACTATTTTTTTTATGTGGCCTTAATAATAGTAACGCAGATATTGTAGTGGTAATCAAAATGGATTGGAATAAATGAAGTACTTTCAAATTACCTCATTAATAATAAATAAAACCAAGATTCAAGAATTTTAAGTATTCCTGCTACAATTTCGTTATTTGATTATAATCAGAACGGATTAAAATAAATGAAAATGTAATACTTACTAAGACAAGTTAATGCAGCACGTTTTTATATTTGATTGAAACGTGTCAGCTGGCAGATATTAAAATACTAAGGATCTTTTTATATGTTAATTTTAATCTTCAGTCCACGACACCTGTATGCCTATGGCTATGAGTCTGTTTGCTTTTACGCGGTGTTTAGTTTCTCGTATTTTATCTTGGAAAGTCCGCGAAGGTTATACAGCACACATTGTTTTTATTAGCCTACAATCGGAACACTGATTGATCTCAGTTGAGTTCAGTATTTTTCTATTGTTATAGTATTTCTATTGGTTTTACTTATTTATTTAACTTTAATAGGTTTTGTTTGTGGAAACACCACGTAAATTTATTACTGCAAAGCTTTCGATCCGTAAGCCCGGATCTTCATCAGTGCTAATAATATGCACTGATGAAGATCCGGGCTTACGGATCGAAAGCTTTGCAGTAATAAATTTACGTGGTGTTTCCACAAACAAAACCTATTATATTTTATCACCATGCAAACATACAAAGAACTTATTATTTAACTTTGCCAAAGAACATGCTACATACGACAAATTGTTGAATTGCAGGACGATAACAAGTTGTTGGAACAACTTGTAACAAGTCTGTTGCGCTCAACAACCTTGTGGCAAGTTGTCAACAAGCTGTTGATAACTTATCAACAAGCTGGGAACAAGCACTCCGAACACATCTTGGAAAAGCAATGCTACAAGCCTGCTGCAGGTTTGTTACAACTTGTGCGTTTTTACGTGTGTAATGGTTTGATTGTTTGAAGCAGTTGATAAATGGGAAAGTGGGCGTGTAATATATGAATTAAAGGAACAGTTCAGCCTTTTGAATGATGGTTTTTAAGGCGCATTACAGCCCTTTTAATTGAAAAAACTAACTAGGAAAATCAATTAAGCATAATTCAAGATCAGTAAACTCAATGTTTTTAACATTTTAAAACATTTGTATTGTTAAAAACATTGAGTTTACTGATCTTGAATAATGTATAATTGATTTTCCTAGTTAGTTTTTTCAATTAAAAGGGCTGAAATGCGCCTTAAAAACCATCATTCAAAAGGCTGAACTGTGGTTTCACAGACAATAAAATCAATTTGAGTCTCAATATGTAGCTACTTGAATGCGAAAAAAAAAATAGGAATTTAAAGTTCTATTTTACACTATAAAATAAACATGCGGATGGACGCGTGAGAAACAACATACAGGAGTCACACAACAGGCTAGATATATCTATTTTCACGGTCTAAGCGAGCCTTGGATTGAGATCTGATGAGTTACCTCATTTGCTAGCCAGGTGCTACCATACAACGCGAAAAACAGTTTGAGCGCGAGCATTTCCTGTAAACAGGCGATGCAGTTGAATGAATTGCAATGAATTTATTAACACGTGAAATATCAGCACACTATATATTAGACCTTTTACAAGGAAGCTATTAATTAAATACCTTAATTTCATTTAAATTTGTGCGGTATTATAATTCGCACAGACCATAAATCAGGGATGCCGGAAGTTGCTGAGGGCAAGGGGTGCAATTGGTTAACAAGAGGGCATACTCCTTAATAAAAGGCACCAATGAAAATGAAAGGGCGTCATGATCCTACATTCGTGTCAACCTCCCTCCCCGTCACCAAATGTTTTCGGACCGAATTAATACAATTATTTAGGCACAATTCCTCCTTAATTTCTCGCCAAAAATTCCATAAGTAATGCTTTCCGTTTCACCTTTTGCCAAATGGATAACAATTTTGCCGAATTCCTGACGACTGGGGGGGGGACACCCCCACATACATCCTCGAACGACGTTTAATTCTGTCTGTTGTAAACGTTTTGTGCACCCGTTACACCAATAGTCTGCACCCGCACTGCACCCACAAAGTTGAAAATGCAAAAGGCAAGGGGTGCACTTGCACCCGCTGCACCCGTGGTTCCGGCATCCCTGCCATAAATGCACGAATTTACCAACGGCAGCGGATGAAAATTAATCCGCGCGACCACACGAATTTAAATAAACATAATGCGTAGTTCAATTCTTGCAGTTAACACTTCTCCCTGGAAAACGCAGACTTATACTTCCTGGGGCTGGGGAATTTTGTTAACCTGATTCCGGGGGGGGGGGTGTTAGAAGTGGGAAATGTATTTCCCATAACAGGAGGGGCCTGGGACTGAGCCAGTGAGCCACATGACGTCTGTTTTGCGATATCTTGCTGGAAGTCAAATGATATTGTTGGAAATTGAACCATTTCAGAAGGATATGAAACTGTTGAAATGGTCTGTTTACAGTCGTGCCAATAGAAGTGTTCCGAAAAATGTTGACCAGTTCATTTCCTAACTTGAAGGAACACCTCTGAACAATTCCTCAACAATTTGATAAGTTCCTCAAAAAGTTCCTAACTTCCTGTTTCATTGACCAATCAAATTTTATATTATATTTTTGAGCAATCTGATTGGTCAACTCAATGAAACAGGAAGTTAGGAACTTTTTAAGGAACTTATCAAATTGTTGAGGAATTGTTCAGAGGAACTCCTCGAAGTTAGGAAATGAACTGGTCAACATTTTTCGGAACGCTTCTATTGGCACGGCTGTAAATGCTCTATTTTGTGAATTTACTTTTATATCTCCTATTCATATATTTTGTGAGATATTTCATGTAGAGCCCAGAATCATAAAATTGCTGACCCCGGGATTGCCTTTTTACATGCCTGGGGGTGAATACGCAAATTTTTGGCAAAAAGTTTGAAAATCGCCGGGGGGGAATGGTAACGGCAAGAACTGAACTATAAAGAAACTAACTTTTAACACTTCTTTGGAATATTTCCGCACAACATCGTCTCATAACGATCAAAAAGTATCTTGGATGCTATAGGGTCAACATTATGTCCCAATGCAGTTTTTCCTAATAAATAACAGTCTTTTAATTTTGGAATTTGCTTATTCATATCAGGGTCAATACGAAATGTAGAAATCGTGGTAATTCTCACCCTGAAATCTCGCATTGCCACCCCTACATATGCGTCGTCTGTGTGAAACGGTTTTCTTATATAGACATAGTTAAATAATCTATTGAGAAGGTCACTGGACAGAATAAAGAATGCTCCAGGATTAAATCGAGGCCAATCCTTTTCTCCATAATATTTCCAACTAACCGTCCATTTTCCACCGATTTTGCGATTCACAAGAGTTCCTGCGTACGTCCAACCTCCGTAAAATGGTCTTGGAAACTTAGCATTGACCAGATATTCCAACACACGTGGTATGCGCACATAAACATCATCGTCTGTTTTCATTGTGTATTTTATATCAAATTTACTCGCCCACACTTGTCCCATGTAGAACTTTATAATATTATTTAGATAATTTTCAGTGATATTTCCTATCAACATATCATTGTGTTGTCTAGCTTCAGCCATGTTTAGTTCATCATCGTTCGTTCCCGGTCCTGCTTTTCCAACAACAAACACGAGCAGCCATTTTAGGTCTTTCACTTTTTCATTTCCCGAAGCTTTACGTTGTTCACAATTGCTTCGATTTCCCCAGGTTTGACGGATAGCCTCGCGACGTTTCCGGTAGTCGGTTGTAGCGCCCGAATTCACCAACACAACCATAAATAAATCGCGTGAATCCACATTTGTTGGCGAAATTTGAGGGAAAACGAACTTAAAATCGACGAACGGGTAATAATCGTTGACAATATCGATAGTCTTATTGTCAGACTTAACCTTATTAGCCTTAGCGGTTGTATTGACTCTATCCAATACATTAGATAATTTTGTATTGATTTCTCTCAGTATCGATGAGTTATTCTCTAAGACGAGGCTAGATTCACACACACACCGACGCTGAACGGCATGTATCTGTTGAATCGAGTCCACAACATGTCCGTCGCTGTTTCTTGGTATCCAAGTAAAAAAGCGTTGATTAACAACAAGCCACATCAGAAAGAAGATGCACATTAACGTGATAGCAAACCCATAGAGCTGTCGCTTTAAGCGTAGAAAATACATAGCGAAATACAGCAAGAAATTGACCTAACCGCTTTCCCACTGTCTTTCCGGTGTGACAAGGAACACATATCACTATCATTACAAAGGAAATTGACAAGGCGTCCGGTTACGATTCTTGCATAACAATACATTCCTCCAAACCAGCTGCCAACAACCGAGTGTACTGTTTTAATACATATACAGTTATGATAAAAACAATTTGTATTCGACTATAACTATCTAACTATGTAACTAACTATCCTAACCCCCCACAACAGTACCAATTTCACAGTATTTAATTTCTCAAAGGCAATTAACGCAAAGGCAAAGATTGGGGTGTATACAAATTGTCAGTGTGCGGTAATTCATGCATGCATAAAATTGTATGCAAATTGAGTGCCCTTGCCCTTGTTGTCTATAGACAGTCTTTGTAATTATTAAGAACTTCTTAGAAGTCTTCCATTATTGCTACAAATTGACCGTTTTGCAACAAAGTCAATTAATTTAAGCGATACGATTGTCTGAAGAGTAGTGAGGGGCAATTTTTGCTACAACTTGCAACGCGATTTCGTTGTCGCCACAAAGCCCACAATTTCACATACAGTGCAATGTTTATGTTGGCTAAAAGACTAATGTTATTTCAGTAAAATTGGATGTGTCCTACTTTATTATTTTAAGGATTGACTGCATGCAATCCTCCTTTCTGCGAAGCAAATTCTAGTTCGAGTATAACAACTTATACAGTGCTGTTTAGTCAGAACATATTAAATGAAAACTTGCTACTTCCTGATGCTCCTGAACTTGATAGTGACATTGATAATTTAATATTGACATCAGTGCAAGCACACAGGCAGTTTATTTTTGGATATGTGGTCCAGATGCTCTGGTCCTGTGGTCCAGATGCTCTGGTCCAGATGCTCTGGTCCAGATGCTCTGGTCCAGATGCTCTGGTCCAGATGCTCTGGTCCAGATGCTCTGGTCCAGATGCTCTGGTCCAGATGCTCTGGTCCAGATGCTCTGGTCCAGATGCTCTGGTCCAGATGCTCTGGTCCAGATGCTCTGGTCCAGATGCTCTGGTCCAGATGCTCTGGTCCAGATGCTCTGGTCCAGATGCAGGGGCGTAGGAAGCTTCTAAAAGTTGGGGCCTGGGGGCCAGGCTTTGAGGGGCACTTTTCGAAAAAAAAGGGCATCTAAAAATTTTTTCCCGGAAATGTTGTCGACGGGGGAGGGGGGGAGGTCATCTGGAAAAAATTTTCTGTACATACTAGAAAAATTTTCTGTACATACTGAAAAAATTTTCCAGATATATCATATTTTTTCCTAAATATGAAAAAAATTTTCCGCATATACCAAGAAATTTTCCGGATATATCATATTTTTCCCAGAAAAGAAAAAAATTTTCCGAAAAAAACATAGTGCCCTTTGGGCAAAAAATGCAATCTTAATGACATTTTTCACGCAAGAAAAGGGCACTTTGCTCCCGGAAAAAGGGCACTTGGCAAAACTTGGGGGGCCTGGTCCCCCCTGCCCCCCGGTTCCTACGCCCCTGTCCAGATGTATATACATGCAACACTGAACCCAACCTCGTACCCAGGATGACAGAAGGAGAGACCCTGGGAACGAGGGTCTTGCAGAATTCTTTCACAGCAGTATACCTGTATGCCGAAAAAAGTCCCAAATGGCCGTTTTTATACTAGAGATGCATAATCCGTCTTCGATATTATTCGTCTAGGAGAAAGACGGGACGAATCCAGCGGCGTAGCCAAGGAGGGGCGAGGGGGGGGGGGCGCCCCCCCCCAATCGCCACAAAAACCATTCTCTCAAAAAACCTAAATCCATAGAGAAATTTGGGGGGGGAGGAAACACGTTACATTCTCGAAGTTAAAACTAAGTTTCGACCTTAGACAACGACGATTTACTGGAGGAGCTTGATGTGTGAAATTTCGTTAAAGCATTTGTATATATGATTCCAAAAAGAATGGATTTAGTTTAGATTTTCGACTGTTAAATTGGCATGTATATCATTACCATAGCATTGAATATTTTTTCTCAAATTTGTTATGTATGCCATGTATCTTATGAAAAGTAATGCAATTTTGAGAATGCGGGAAATGCGTCTCGTACAATTATCTAAATGCAAAATTTACGATCAAAATTACATTTGGATTTTCTTCGATCCCTCCCCCCCCCCCCTTTTCTATGCAATTCATTTAGATCCGAAGAGAAATATCTGGTAAAAAATCAAGTCTTTGATGCAGGTTATAATCCTCGGAATTCTGCAAAATTTCACCCCAAAATGCTTCAAATCGCATTTCCGGGACTGTAGATTTCAAATTTTGGAATCTCAATGCCATTGCCGTTCGCTTCGCGCGCGCCCCCAACAAAAAAATATAGAGCTGTCGTTACGCCACTGACAAATAGTGATGGGCGATACCAGGATTTTTAGTTCGATAACGATACTTTTAAAATCGGTATCGTTCGATACCGATACCTATTTCGATACTAAAATAAACACAAAATTTTAATTTTCGATACCGGAAGTGATTACTTAAATTGCCAGTATCGGCTATTTTCGATACCTACCGGTCAGCGGAAAAATATTTTACATTACGCTCGCTATCGTCATCGGTATCGCTCGGTATCGCCCATCACTACAATCTCGTTCCCCGAGCCTGCGATCCTCGGGAAGGAATCGAAGGCTCTGGGATAATCCGTTTCAGGGAGGAATCTGATTGGCCATTGATATGGAATGCGTAGTTCAATCTTAGCCATGATTCTTGGCTTCCGGTGTCACAGTGATATGAGTATCCCCGTGTTTTGTGTATCCCCTACTAATATCACTAGGGATTTGTGTATCCCCATGCTCACCTCACTAGGGATATGTGTATCCCCGGCAATATGGCGGTCGTGTTCTGCGTATCCCTAAAGAGCAGAACTGTACATACAAGCTTGAAAATAACACTCTAAATAGTGTGTTGGATTGTGTTCCGAACAAGACTAATACCAAAAAGATATGTTGAAAGGGGCCGAAGTTATATTCGGCGAAAGGTATGGCTTAGTGATGCACTGTTTACATTCTTCGAGTTTTAATATTGTATATAGTATGGTATGGTTAGTTTACATTGTTCAAGTATGCCTAGTTTATAATTTATGGCTATTTTACATTGTTCGATTTCATAGAACTTTTCAAGCGGATTTTTTGGTGGTACTTTCGTATTTCTACTGCAAATACTCGCGGAGTTCTGTAATATTTAAACCAGGATTTAAACTTCCTGTCATATACGTCGGAAATCAAGTAATACGGAGTCATATGAGTTAATGTTAAGAGTAATTCTACACTATGTTCTACACCAATTTATGCGACGCGAACATGCTATCTTGCAACAAAAGTACAATCACATTATACACATTTACTGCAGCATTTAATAACTGTAAAAATGTAAATACTTAATACCGGAAAATAAAGGCACAGATAAATGAGCTCATATTTTGAATATTGCATCCTTTTGCTTCTAGTGTTGTAGGTATCCCCACCGGGGGTACTTTTATCCCTAGGGATATTAGTGTGGGGATACACAAAACACGGGGATGTTCGTATCACTGTGACACCGGTAACGGATTATCCCAGAGCCTTCGATTCCTTCCCGAGGATCGCAGGCTCGGGGAACGAGATTGCCATCACTACTGACAAACTAGTCAGCAACCTCGTTCCCAGGCTCTTTGCTCTTGGGAAGCAAAGACCCTGGTCGGGGCTTATGACGTCACACCCAGAATCTGGGAGCAAACGTATAATTTGACTAAGTGTTGCGTTACATTTCAAGCGAGAAGCTGGATCATATTTCACTTGCAAGGAAAACACTCCACACGCGCCTGGCTTGCGAAGTTTAGCACGTATCGCCGTAGAAACATACATATCTTCTACACAGACTGTCGATCAAACAGTATTAAACGAACGATATGGTTCTTTATAGTTGAAGTGTATCCTGTCCGATATTCAAAACAAAAGATTTATTTTATAACGGGATCCTTTGATTTCCCAAACATCGCCAACATGTGTAAACAATAGTGCTATTTTGACTGTAAAAGCACAGGATGAAAACCCGTTATGGACTGGCTATAAAATTCATTTCATTTACATTGCTGAAACTCAACGATCAAGAAAGATAATGTCGAAGTGTAGTTAGCTATCTAATCTGTTAATAATATCACACAAACGCCAAGACTCCTCCATGCGTTTCCGTGCGTGCGGTACAACTTGAATACCTACGACGATATGTGCAACTGAGTGTCGGATCCTTTGAAGTTGGTGTCCTCGCGCATGTCGTGTCGCGCATACCGGAAATTCGACGGCCGCCATTACTCTGGCCAGTAACTTGCTGCCAGAATAAATATAAATTGTATTGAGCGAGGGTTATATTTTCGTTTTAAAAGCATACCGTGGGAGTTTATGTTCAAAATTTTGGTTTTAATGACCAGAGCATTCAAGGAGAAGGTATGTAGTTTCAATTTATTTATTTAAAAGTCAAAGTAAATGCTCGTAGGCGCATTTTTCTTCGATATTGTTCATGGAGAACCGAACCCAGTAGCTATCGCCTATCCGTACAATAGCACAGACAGTAGTTTTAATATAGTTTTAAGTTTCGATGTTTTCTGTCTATCTTTAGCAGTGATTGAATAACAAATCATAAATGGACATCCTTATTGCGCCTCAATATCCTAAACTATTAATAAGAGTGTCTAAATGTTTGGCTCGCGAACAGTAACTTTAGTCATTTAATTAAGCCATTAAGGCTATATTTAGTCTTGTAAACCAGAGCAGCGTTAACACATGTCCAGTATATTATTTAAAGATGTGTGGCCTTGGTGTTATTTAAAGATGTGTGATTTTCTATCCTTTGGTTTAGATGTGGCTAAGTCTCTGTTGGCAAATTTTATGCTGGAGTATATTCGCACTCACATTGCCATTGGAAGGTGATGGGAATGGCTTTGATCATCGTCAAAATGTTGGCTCCAACACCAGG